AGTTGGATCTTTGATTAATGGACGGCGAGATAAACCGCGTCGATTTCCTGATCGATATCGAAGACGAGAAGCGGTGTTACGGTTGCTTTTGCCGCTAATATTCGCACATCATTTTGCGCTAATATTTGCACATCATGTTGATTTTCTTTCTGAAACTATGTCAAATTTAGATGTATTTATCAAAATTATGAAAAATATATATTACTATAGTACTATAGTATAACGCACTTGAAGAAATAACAGATCAATAACAGATACGTAGAATAAAAAAATTCTGGTTCGAAAAAAATATCATATAAAGATTGTGTATAAACACAAATATTCATTTTGGTTTTAAAAATATAAAAATATAATAAATATTTATTTCGTTTTTATATAATTAAATTCTTATATTTGGCTTAAATAATGTATAAACATGCAAAATATATCATCGAAGATCCTGAATAGAATATTAAAATCCAAAAGTGTAAAATTCTTTATAATTATGTGTTTTTTAAATTAAATAAATATATTTGTAAAATATTGACTTTTTATTTTTTTCTTTATATTATTAATTTTACAATTAATTTGAAATTTGACTTTATTGTATATTGTATTATACATATACATTTTCTTACAATAATTTATTATTGCAACTTTTTAAAGATATATATATATATATATATATATATATATATATATATATAAACCTTTTTGTCTTTTTGATTTTGCAAATTTATTAATAATTTAATAATTTAAATATTAATAATTTAAAAATTTTTTTAAAGTTTTAACAGAGAGAGATCGAGAGATACGAAAGCTGGCAGTACTAGAAAAGAAATTAATAATAATTGAGTAGACACAAGTTTAATGAGAAGAACATCTTTTACATTACAAGCATTTTTACTTTTTCATAAAATTTATTCCACGAAAATTAAGATTTTTGTATGTAACATTTGTTTTCCATTGATAAAAAAACATATCTCTCATATGGTGTAAAAATGGCATGTCACGTCACGTCACGTCATGTCACGCGTAATTGTTTGGTGGCTGCTAGATGCTCGGATGGCTCTGACTCTCTGGGAGTAACGCACCCCATATTCCTTCGGGCTATCCACGGGAGAGCCCAGGGTGAGCCCCATAATAGCCCTCGACCAGGTCCCACCCTCTCGGCAAACAGAAAGGCCTTGAAAGTGTGCACAACCGCAGAGTCGCCGCCCCTTGCATGGCGGGGTGAAATTTGATTATGCCCCTTCCACGTGGATGAATCCGGCGAGATTCATCGGCGGGTACCCGCCAATGATTTATACCACTTTTTTCTCCTTACCGCAGCGACAAGTTGTCTTTGTCGTCGTTAGCTGCTATGTGCGTGCGTTTCTATCGTTTTTATTGAAGCGGCTGAGGGTAAAAATTAATATTTTTTTCCTTTCATACATCTTTTATATACTTTAACTTCCTTATCTCATTCATTTTCAATATTATTTAGAATTATCTACGCAGATATGTGTATTATTAGATATAATTTGTTAAATGTATATATGATGCAGCTATAATATTGAAAAGGATTTTAATATTTCTGCAATCTATAGAATTCCTCCTAAATATTATTAAAATTTTCTTGATAAATTTTTATTTAATGTGAATATTTAAACATCTCAATAATTTTTGAGTTTTAACATTTCTTTAGACTTCTTTAGAAACACATTCTTTAAACTTTATTTCAATATGTAAAAATAAAATATTTTCTACATCAGAAAAATTCTATTTGCAAATGGACAAAATTAATATTAATTGAATATTAATATCAGAATTGTATATTTTATATTTTACATTACAGAGAGAGAAAGTTTATAATTAAAAGAATACATGAAGCGTAACAATCAAATATTGAGTGCAACGAACGTTGTCGGACTATATTAATCGCAATGCTTCATATTTTGGTGTGAGGTAACTTTTTTTCGATTGTGGACACACAATAACTTTTCCAAACCACGACGAAAAAAGCGCGCTCCCAAATTCAGTGAAATTAGACAGAAATCTGCGATATTTGTAGCCGCCTGATCCATCATCGGTCATTGACGGACATACAATGAAACTTCAGGAAGCAATAATACCAATGGTGCACCCACGATCGCTCATGTTTTTTTTTTATTTTCATCGGAACAGACCAATTTCTAACGATTGTACGCAGGGCACGAAACTATCATGCAAAAAACACGTTTATGATTGATCTGATCTTACTACTCCATTTTCCAACACGGGCACTCAATTAAATGTATCTATCTTTTTTCTGCTTTTAGATTTTTGACGAAATTATACAAAACGCGGTATGCTGCAAAAAATATAGCATTTTAAATTAAAAAAGAAAGCTTCATTTAAATGAAATCTCTTATATATATTTATAAAAAATAATTTACATTATAACTTCATTTATAGTTTATTTTAAAAAATTATATAGATTACTTATAAAATCATATAAAAATAATATGCTTATAAATATTTTTATAAATATAATAAAAAAATTTATAATGAATTAATTTAGAATTATTAGTTTTTATAAATTCCGAATACTTCAACAAATATATTGAATAAATTCCGTCATTCATTGATCGACAAAAATACAAATTGAGGCAACGGCTTTCGTTTTGCTTATTACAGAAAGACGCAACTTAAACCTGACACACAAATGTCAGTAACCGTAACTAGTTGTTGTGACTTCCGTCGCTCGAAGTAAGACGGATCGGGAAGAATTCCGTAAAAGGAATAGCGAGGCAACTGGGAGGACTGATCGATCCATCATCAGACTAACATAACTTCCGCCTTTAAACGACGCATACGCGCGAAAAGGAGAGAAATGCTTTGACGCTGTCGCAAGATTTTCGAAAGATCTTTTGAATTCATTTCGAAATTCGATCGATCGTAGAAATTGTTCCATGTTATGTAACTAGATTGGGTCTCAAAAACAATGAAAAAAACGGGAAAATTGTAACGATACGATCTGATACTTGAAATTTTTGGATCAAAAAATTGAACAGCTAAAGCCTAGTTTAAATCTATAATTTGCAGCAGAATATCAAATTTTCAAGTGAATAATTGTATGCAAGTTAAAAGTAAATCTACATTTTTTAAGGAATTTTTATAAGTATTTTTATATTTCTCCAAGAAAGCTTGATCAAAATAGATATATATTTACTGATTTTTCACAAGTTAACTAGAAGAGATATAATAATGAGAGGAGAGAAACAGAGAAAGAGAGGAGATTCGAGAGGATTCATCCTCTCAGGAAGAGGAATTACTAAATCGTGAATTATTAAATCGCGGCCTCACGAGATCGTATGATCGTATAAGTGCAGGACTCAGGCAACGGGACCTTCGCAAAACGGGCGACGGCGATGATGTCGTGACGAATGCGACAAAGGGCAGAACCCGGTATCAATGGCCCCTGGCCGGTTTTGTAGGAACATCGTTTTGACAGAAGGGTGTCGTCACAGTTAGTGGAAGCGAGACGCGAGGAGGGTGGGTGGCGTGGGTCGGCGAACGCGGCTCTCTCCGTTTCTGGAGGGTAAACGCGAGATCTTTCTCTCTCTCCCTCCTCGAGTGTTACAATAAATCAACGGCGCGCTTTTGCGAAGTTCCACCCTCAGAGACCTTTGCCGTACATAAGCGGTATATCCCATACATGATGCGACACCCCGTACCATGACGCTTCGACTCTGTCTGCCTTGGTCCTCATTGTGTCTAAAGTGGCCTGTCCGTCGATTTTGGAACGGATCGCTTTCTATAAACAATTTATTCTTTCAGCTCGCGTGATCGACCGTGAACGATTCGCATCAGCGGCTAAGTTATCAACGAAATTAAGTAGCAGACAGATGACTCACATCTTGTTAAAATTTATTTAGTTAAATTATTTATTTTTTTTTATTATTTATTTTTTCTTCAAATACTATTTAAAGTCATTAACTTGATATTTTTGAAGGAAAAATTTATTGCGATTTAACCATGGAATTCGTAGAAGAAAGTAAGCTTGAAAAATTTCGTTTAAATTTCTCTTTTGAAAATTTCAGAAACTTTAGAAAGCTTTTAATTTAACATTTAAATATAACTTAGGGTTGTATATATTTTCGTAAAAATATTCTCGTTAACGTTTAGGTACAATTTCTTAACCAATGAAAATTGTATCTTTGTCGATTTTTTACCAATATTAAAAATATTAGTAAAATATTGATGAAATATTATACTTATGACATATAAACAGCATAAAAATTACTCGTTAATATTATTATTACGATGCGTAACATTATGAAGAAACAGCGATAATAATTGGATCCGCAAACATGGGTAAGAAATACCTTATTCTGGCGATATTTTCCACGGTTACATAAGAGGGACCGCAATCTTTTCGCGGCCAATAATCGACGTCGATCCCAAATTTCGTGTCACGGGCGTGCCTAGTTTGAGGGAACCGGCGTGTTTGAGCGAACGGGGTGGATCCGCGATATAGGCCTGCGACCCTTCGATATCGTTCATTCGTATCGGTTCTGCATCGGGTTTTTCTGACTCCCCTGTTTCATCCGCGCTACGATCGTCCGTATTCCACCCTATGTCCGCACTCGTGCTCCCTCGTGACAAAAAGGGCGAGAGCCCCGTGGCCGCAGCGACCGATTAATTCACTACAAAAGGGGCTGCGTATCGCGCATCGAGCCCTCGACAGGCCCCTCTAAACCCACCTTCGGCCCTACTGCCAAGGGCGTCCTGGCTCTTATCCTTCTCCCGCCGACGCTTTTCGGGGGACGAACCGATCCTCCCTCCATGAAGAGGATTGGTTCGACCCCCGAAGGGCCGTTGGTAGCGGGAAATATTTCTATATAAGGTCGGGGTGAGCTTAGATTCGTGTTTAGTAAGTTTCGGACAATCCGTAGCACTGTCGCGCTGATTATCCTATGTCCGCGAACGAGCAACAAAGGTGAGGTTTCATAAGAGAAGATAGAAGTGCATTCATCGTTTCCGCCAAGTCTCCGAAGATGTCCGAGCTGAGGACCAGCGGCTTCTTCCGACCCTGGCATATCCCGGAGACCACGAGCGAAACTTCCAGAATAGACCATAACTCATCGTGTAATAGACAGGAGGATGATGACGAGAGCGTCGTATCTTCGGCGACATCGACAACTTCCGTAACAAGCTCGACCACTATGGAAACATCCGAGAAGTATAACGATCGTCTTCTGGATCGAGATGCAGCGGACTCGACATCATTAAACGTTCGTCATCGCGCGAGAAGACGTCGGAGAAGCGAGTCCTCCGACGATGTGGCGATCAGTACAACGCCTTCCCTTGAGGGCGAGGACGTTGTCGGGAATATCGTGCAAGATGCGAGGAACAAATCACGTGCCTTCCGTTCGAAACAGCCAGTCGATTCGACGGCTCCTGCGGTTTCCGCTCGCGATTCAGACAAGTTTAACTTCAGTGATGTTAGTCCGCTAGAATATCTCTCGGCGTTTGAATTTCGACGACCGGAGGTTTTCGCGTCGATAAACGATGGAACTTATTCGGTGGCGAATTTAGATATCGCCGGACCATCGTCAGTCGCAAACTCGATGATCCCCGAATTGTACTATGCCTTTAATGACTTTCATCCCGGGGTGCATTCCGCTCAACCGGGGATTCTTCCTTCGGACTTTTATAATCGTTCCGTGGAGGAAGCGGTGCAAATGGTACATCGACAGGATGCTGTCGCCAAGCAAATGAAGAAGATGCGTCCAAAGAAGTTTCGCTGCCAATACTGCGACGTCGCGTTCAGCAACAATGGTCAACTTAAGGGACACGTTCGCATACATACTGGTTAATTGAATCTTTCAATATAATTTTATGTCCACTAATCATCGTGTAATCGTTTGTTAAACAAGAAGAAATAGCAATACTCATGAAAAATATTTGTTGGAGAACATCACTTTGAATATTTTTCCTTTATAATGATTTTAATTCTCTTATCAAATAATTTTAATTTCGATCTTTTTATTTTATATTTTATAATATAAGATTTTCCAATATAATTTCTGTACAAAAAATATTTCTTTCTGGAGGAAATTCATACAGAAAATATTTTTTGGTAAATATCTTTGGCAATCTATGGGACCTAAAGGTGCGATCCAGCGATCGTTAAGAAATGACAAACTTGAGACACAATCAGTGTCCTTTGAGAAAGATTCGTAACTACAAATAGATGAGATCATCTCGAAATTTATAATAAATAGAAATTTTGATTCTGGCCTATCTTTCTTGAAAAAGGCAGCATTTCTCAAAAATAAAATTCGAAAATAGCTGTGTGAATATTGCTGTTTTCGATGTGATCATAGTATGCTCTTGTTAAATTTTTGCAGTCACGAATCGTGATAACGTTCTGTAGTTCACGGATATTAAACACTTTTGTAATCCAATATATATTTTTGGTCGATTTTCACTGCATGCGATTATCAAAGAGAACTATAAATAGTATATTTTGTCTATAAAGTAAATCGTGAACTTGATTAAAATATCGTATAAATTAATTAGATTAAGACTTTTTTCTTTGTTTTTACGTTCGTTTGCCGCTCACACGTTTACTATGCTCGCAATCAATCCCTCTCTGAACATTTTTAAAAGAATTTTTTGTAATAATTTTAATTTTCAAATAAAGTAATTTTAGTCTTAATTTTTATATTTTCTTATTAAAATTTTTTAAAGAAAATTTTGGAAAATAAGAAACAATTATAAATCGATATATCAACATTTGTATCTTCTTATTAATATTGCTATTAGCAATGAAAAATATAGCAAAAAGAGATCTATAAAAAGAGATCTATAATCACTGAAATCAGTATTCATTGATATTTTTAATATGTGTCACGCCTTTTGCTCTTGATTTTTTTAAATTAAATAATTGCAATTATGCTTCTTAAGCAAATTTTTATTCAAGTAACAAACTTTGTTCATGAACATGTCTTTTCTTTTTGAGAGAAATATTATCATCAAGTTATCATCGCAAGATGAATATTATAAACACAAATAAATTACATCGCAGACACAAATAACCACATTTGCACAGGAATATAATGTACATTTCCATTGTTACAGGAGAGAGACCGTTCAAGTGCGACGTGGAGTCCTGTGGAAAATCGTTCACCAGAAACGAAGAACTAACGCGACATAAGCGGATCCACACCGGTGTTCGACCTCACTCCTGCGTCGTTTGCGGTAAGCGATTCGGACGTAAGGATCATCTGAAGAAGCACACGAGGACTCACGAAGTTCGCGATCCGTATCGCGTTTCGGCGGCATTAGGCATGTTCGCTCTGAGCCATCCGTTTCAGCAGGCTACCGGACTTTCGCCATACATCTACCAGATCTGACATCGGAAACTTGCCGGTAAAAAGATCTAATATAACGATCCGTTTGACAAATTTGAATATAGCATACAGGGTACCCGTCTAGTATATATTGCACTGCGAAATAAATTATACACTATATTTTATACAATTAAGATTTTATACAATTATGCCTTGGTTATCCTGAGAATTTTAAATCGCACTGAATATTTTTTCGATACCATCATTTACATTTAGGAAAAGATTCGCGACAAACTTTAAAGGAAAAACTTGCGAAAAGCGTTTCGTATTTAATATTTTTGAATTACTGCATGTCTCGACTATTATTATGTATTTTCCTGCAACGCGACGATAATATATCGTACTGTAATGAATATAATATGTAAATACTTATATATAATATAATGTAGATATATAGTCTCAGAGGATGCATATATACTTTTTATTATGTATTTATTATTATTATATATATTAGATTTGTTATATATTTGAGATGGATTTATTGTTACAATTATATGAAGCAAATATTTACAAATTAATACCGTCTAGTATTCGTATTTATTATCCCTTTAACGAGAATAGATATTTCTAAATTTCCTAATATATATTTATAATACTATAATTTTACTCCGCTTTGATTAGATTTATTACATTGTTTGCTTTCAAAATGATATGAAATTAATGCATTGACTTTATCATTGAAGATAATATTTTATTTTTACTATTTTAATTAAATTGAATATTTAAAAATTATTTAATATAATAAAATAATAATAATTATATTATTACATAATTATTAATAGTAGTTATATAATATTTATTATTTATATTGTACTTTCAAAATATTTCTATAAAGAATTTTCATTAAAATATTTATATAATAGTACACATGATCGATTATACACTATTCATAATTCACAATAATATAATACTTGTTGCTTTCAACAATATTACTTATATTGCAGCAAAAAACACAGTAATTGCAATATTTTTTCCGGTAAATCTCTATACTATTTCTCGCCCAAATGAATGCATATTTAAATCAAGCAGCAATATACGCGTTATCATCAGGACCACCACCATTTTCCCGGCGATTGAATTCAAGATGGCGTTACCAACTGCAACCCCTCAAATAATAGAGAATCCCCTTACTCGTTTATGCGATGCGCTGTAAAGGAAGGGGGAAGAACAGTGGGTTGCGCCCTTTCATCCTCGAGAACGCACGCATAGTTACCATACGTGTGTTTGTGTGTCTGTACTTTTTTCCGCCTTTTTTTCATTACAATACGTTTTTATGGGATGTTTCGCGGTTGCGTTTGTGATTTCGAAGGAAATATGAAAGGGTGAACTGAGAGGGGTTAAAAATTGACTGTGATTAATATTTTTCAGAAATCCTGTTTATATCATGTTTGAGTCTTTCGCTTTTATTACTATTGAAATTTTGCAATAGTTTGTAAAATATCTGTTTCATGAATACATGTTTCAAAAGTTAATAATATCGCATAATTTTCTTTTTATTTTATAACTCAAGAAAGAAGAAAAGAGAAAGAAAATCTTTGTAAAAAAGTTTTTAATATATATCATTTGTTAAATAATATAATCCAGAAAGGAATACGATTTTATCATCTAGTCAAGCGTCTTAATTCGTTCAATATATCTTTTTTTGAAATTATTATTCCAATCAAAATGTGAATTTTTAATTTTATTTTTTAATTTTATTTCTAATTTTATTTTTAATTTTTTTCTAATCTCAAATTTAATTAAGTGCACCTTAATAAACAGACTTTGTATGGATGTAAAATGGATTAAAAGATAATGTTAACTTCCGTAACAGGGATACGAACTGCTAGATTGAATAATCCGGGAGCTGCTGTGGTAGCTTAACGTTAAATGCGTTAGATTCTCACACCGTGAGTTTCAGTAGCAGAGTTTTCGATAGAGGAAACCCCGCTGAGATTCGTCCAAGCTCGTTGACACCCCCCTACTATCCTACAGATATATGACTGCGAGCCCTCTAAAGTTCTTTCTCTAGAGCATGAATCTTTCCTTCCGTTCTGTTTCTTTCTCTTTTTCTCTCTCGATTCACTATATTGAGTTTCAATGTCCTTTTCCGAGGGTGCGAAACTTTTCAAACGTTCTCTTAATAAGTGATTTTTAGTTTCTTTTAGGCATAAATATATTCTCCTAATTTTGTCTTGGATTTTTGATTTTAAAAAATGATAAAAATATATTAAATTCTAATTTCACTTTCCAAGCAAGCGTTTCTCCTATTTTATTCTTCTTTTTACCTCTCTCTTTTTTTTACCGTCCCTTCAGGTAGTTTATCATCAATCCGGTCTATCGCAGGCCCTATTATCGGAGGGCTTTAGGCTAAACGATTGCTTAAATGCTCCCGGATTACACACACCTAACCCGGATTACGCCTACCTTAATCTCGTCAGATTACATAGTCTATCAACATGAAGCCATTATTTGAAAAAAGTTTGCTATCGCGACTATTGTATTTTTCTCCCAACATAAAAGAATTGCTTCATCTTCTCTTTTTTGAGGCATAAGAAGAGTGAAAATTTTACAAATTTATTCAAGTTTACAATAACTTTTCTATATATGATTTGGTAGTTTGATTATCTTTAATATAATATTAAAGTTGGAGAATAATTCAAGATGCAATATTCAGAAGCGACCTGTTGCTCCTTCACTAATTGATAACCTAGCGGTTGGATTTGGCTATTTCGAGTAACGTTTACATTGCTACCTGAACCGAATTTACAACCGTTGAAGATTCGTAATCCCCGTCGTAATAGCTGTCGCGTCGAGGAAATCGCTGTCATCGTATACAAATTCTTCCGTTTTCCACCGTCGCCGTTCATTCTTCTCGCCATCTCCCGCCGATACGAGTCCAAATATCATCTGTGTCACCGTGTCTTTCGCGTAAGCAACGCACGCCGCGGGTGGGCCTGTATATGTCGGAATGTTTGCCCGCGTTATTGTTGCGCGTCCTGACACTCGATACGAAATTCTCCCGATCCGGTTTTAAAAAGCGTTTAGAGCCCTTACCCAGTCGGTCCACCTTCCCCCCTGCTTTTACGTGATATATCCCGCTTATGTTCCGTACGGATCACACGCACCTTCTCAGATGCGTATGCAGAGGATCGTATTCTCGTGCTCATCGGGGATGCACACCCGGGGCGCCGTTGACTTTCTGATATATGGATCTCTATGTATGTATCCATTACTACAAATACGATATATCGAAAATTCCTCTTACGACACATTTTTTAATTTTAATCTTTCTCTATTTCTTATACTACTTATTAACAATTATTAACAATTATTAATATTTATTATATAATTGTTATAATTTATTATGTAATTGTTATGATTTATTATATAATTGTTAATTTAATATTTATTATATAACTTAATTGTTAGTATTGATTATTAACAATTATTATATAATTGTGTTATTAATATTTAAAAAATTTAACGCATTATCGATCTTTATATTTACACAGGGTAGTAAAATTGAAATTACTAGTAAAAAAATTTAGAGATGTCTAGCTTGATCAATGTCACTCACCAAGAAGATCCATTCATGTTTGACGGAAGTATGCTTCGTTCTATCTCGTCTCAACGCGGTGCTTTTGCATGCATTCACATTGAGAAATGATAAAGGCAATTTGTCGCGCTCGTTAGATCCTATACATTCATGTAGCACTTGTCAAAAGTTAGCTGTTAGTTATTGTGAACATCGCTACTTAGGATTTATTATTATTCAATCATGAATCATCAGCACTATGGATATAATATGTTCGAATAGTTCCTACTTGTTAAACCTCATTTAATTTTCATTTAGTCGCTATTTATGCATTCATGACTATACTATGTGTGTTTTTGTTTAGATTGCTACAAAATTAATATTGAAAAAATATGTTCGTATGAATATATTCATCGAAAAAGAAACAAGAATAACTTAAAATATTTAAAAAATCCATAAACAAAAAATAAAAAGTCTCAAGAATAAAAAAATTCAAAATATTTTATTTAAGACTTATTGCATATATTAACTGGATTAAGAGTTCTAGTGATAATGCTTTAAATTGCTAAGTGTTATATACAATTGTTTTCGTACAAAAATGTATATAACACGATAGATATGTACGTTATTTTCATATTTAATATTATTTTTCTCTAAAACTTCGCAATTTATAAAAATTTGTCTACCTTTATTTGTTTAATCATCTTGATTGTATTATAGTATTGATAACCTATAAACAAATGTCAAATTTTGAATACTAGGATTATTTAAAAACCTATTATATCTAAAAAAATTAATTAATATATTTATCAGAAAAATAAACTATAAAACTATAAAATATTTAGATAGAATAAATAAATGATTAAAAATCCATACTCTGAATATGCTGTATCAATGTGATAGATATTTTTTTCTGGAATTCCCCATTGTTGTGAAAAACTAATGTACATCAATAAAAATGATTAAAAATATTGAACTGCAAAACGGAAAATTAAAAATTACGGTTTATTAATTAAAATTAGCCAGACTAATTTTCTTGCAATTATTAATAAAAGTATTCCAATTTAAAATTTCATTACTTTTGTGCGAACATTTAGAGAAACAACTTCTACAACTCTTGTCAGAAGATACATTACATCAGGACAATTATGTCAGGAGACACGCTAATAAATTACATAATTTCTCATTTAAATTCAAGCATTAATAAATCCAAGAGCATGAAAAATATTGGATCAATTGAAAAATCACTCTTCAAGATCTTCGGCTTATCATTATATGCGTCAATGGAACGGCTCGATTTCAGGTCGCGTACTCTTCATCGAGGAATCATCGTCTTCTTCTTCTTTTTTATTATCCATTCTATTCTTCTGAGACTGTCGGGCGTCAAAAAATGGGGGCCTTAGTATGGGCGGGTGGCTATTCGAATCTCTAAGAAAAAATGAATGAAAGCCAGAAGTCCATTCATGGGCGCACCTGACTCTGAGCGTCGAATCGTGAGAATCGATCCGGAGATTTTTCAAGATCTTTCTTCCGCGTTCTGAGCACTTCGTTTGAACATCTTCGGGAATAAAGAGTGCGATGCACGGCAATTTTGTTCGCAGCGACGTTTCTCGTCCCTCGATTACGTTTGTGTTACGCTTGTAATGCTAGATTTTACGTTAGTCATTTTTATATCAAAAATGTAAAAAAGGTTGGCTCATTATTACGGGATTTATTTTCAATATTTTAAATATTTTTATTAATTGACTATCGACTTCTTTTTAATGAAAATAGCAAGCTATTAATAGTTTTGCGATTATAAGTAGTTAAATATAAAACTTGCAAGAGCGTATTAATGTAATCAATTATAACTATAATTAATTTATTTTAAAATATCTTATTTTTTAGATGATATATTTGATACATTCTAAGAATAAATTATGTGATAATGTTATGTTGTTAACGCAATGAAAAAAATTAGTATCTTCAGAAATAAAGGGTTTAATTAATAAATTTAAATATATAGAAGTTTTAAGCATAAATAATAAATATGCGGAAATTTTTAAAAATTAAAATACTAGATGTAAAAAATAAAAAATAAAAAATTAGATTTATTTTAGACTGATCTGAGAACAACGAAAGATCGTTCTAAAAAAGCGGCATTCGGCACCTGTTGCATTATTTTGAATGAACTTATGTTCCTATCATTTTGAAACGATATACCTGACCCGAGACAAATTAAGCACATACAATGAAAAATTTAGTATAGCCGTTGACTACCGAACTCTTTATTCTTATACGTTCCGGAAATTTAATTCGATACACATTAATCTGCACCATGCTGATGTCTAAGAAAGATTGATCTCATGAGGAAATATGCAGTGAACCTTATTGTATCTTTTTTTGAAACTCATGTAGAAAATAATTATAGCCATTGTCAGTTTTCAGTGTTTCAAAAAGTGGAAAGAAGAATCATTTAATACTTTGATTTAATATTTAAACAAGAGTTTTCAATATTTAAACAAGAATTATGCAATAATTCTATTTATCATCTTTAATTGAAATTAAAAGCAACAGAGATTAAAGCGTTTTATATTTTTTTATATTTATTTTTCAATATCTTTTTATTAATGTTTTTCTTCTTTATTTTTTTAGAAATTTTAAAAAAGAAGCTTTTTCCACTGTTTATTGCATACGCGGAGATTGTACATAATATTGCAGAAATGATGAAATTTTAAATTAAAAATTAGAAGTAAAAAAGTACATAAAGAAGCTTCAGCATTTTCTTATAAAATTTTTATTATCCGTCAATCTTCTTGTAAATTTCTTCTATGCTTGTTCAATATAAGACTGCTCGTCAAAATTGCTTTCTTCAGCTTTATCTTCATATTCCTCTAACTTTTCAGAGTCTGCGAGAAGTTTCTTCTTCTTATCGTTCTTGGGTAGCCAAGGTCTCGGTGCCCGGAATTCAAGATCGATTTTCTGCTTTTTATCGCCACCATCGCAGTGCTTTCTGACTCTCAATAAGAATATATTTGGATTCTCTTCCAGATCAATTAGTCTTTTCACTTTCGAGTTCTTTCTAACTTTCTCCAGATGAGAAACCGCAGAAATTTTTCCAATATCATCGTCTTCTTTTATATTCGGATACAATGTGAGCGTACGACATCCCGTATCTTCTCGATCGCAGATTTTCTTCATCAACGACGCATCTTCCCGAGAAGTACGACAGAGCTCCAAACTTCCGTTGGCCATGTCAAACACGACGCCGTCATCGCATTTTTTTAAGCCCGACGTGGATTTTTTTACGCCTACCTGGTCGATGCATTCGCATGGAGGATCGTATTCTTCCTTGACTGACTCCTTGTGCATCCTGATGATGACACGATTATCATTGATGACAGCTTCGATCTCTTTGTACGGCTGTCCTTTTCTAGCGATCTCGGATATAACTCTCTCAGTTGGAGTTTGTTCCATGTTTGACATTTCGAATTTTCCTTTCAATCTAGATTCGCTTCTGCTTCTTGAAAACTGTTTGCTCACGCTATCTTTCGACATGCAAGACGTCGTAGCACTTATCGGTCTTCGCGAAGGGGTCCTGGATACATTTATGATGCAACAATCGGGACATTGCGGAGGGATCGATGATAAATAGGTGGATGGAATATACTTTGGATGTGATAGAGTATAACGAGAATTTTTGCCCTCAATGCAACAGGAAACTTTGTCTCTGGATATAATGTATTTTGGTTTTTCGGCAGTTTTGGATTGCATATAGCATTGAGTCGCGTGCTCTCGCGATTTATGCGAAATATCAAGTGAACGAAAGCAGCAAGGTGAACAGGGTGCTTGCAATCCGATTGATTCGGTAATCAATGAAGGCTTCTTCGGTATAGGACAGCCGCAGTTGTAAGTTGTCGCAATCATCTTTGCTATTTTTGTTCCATTATGAATGTAAATAACTGAGTTTATCGGATCACATGATGGCAAATTTCGAGTAAATTTAGATCAAGTTATTTCGGAATAATGACATGTTAATGATTTGTTGAAGAAGATATGGATCTGTGACCTGAATTTGTTTCCTGATGTGCAATGAATATGCCTGATTGAATAATCGATTTTAGTAAACTATACAAACAGTAAGATCATAACCACATCTTCGAAAATGGGACGTTAAATAAACAGATATGTTTTGCCTTCAATAAAGATTACTTTCAAACTTTAAATTGCAAGTGAAAATGCAGTCTTCTAGCGATAAAAGTAAATTAACAACAATTTAAAAAAAAATTTTTTTTTTTAATTAAAGACAAATTTTCATTAAAATTCTACTTAAAATTTAATTCTTGTTATTTGAAATTTATCAATTAATGAGATAAATAATATTCCAATAAGAAAAAATGCAGATATTTATATTATAAAATTATCTTAAAACACTTTAACAAGATGTGTGCCTCTGTCCTCCAATGTCATCCTCGTCATCTACACTTGTCAAAGATGCTTGTTCAAAATATTATCAAGAAATCGGTGCAGAAATGATTAGCAACCAGCTCATCATTAGATTAGAAAAGGATAAAAATAGACATAAAAAGAAACGGGAAGAATGGGATCCACCTTGCGATTGCGTCGAAATTCAAAGACCGACAAGCAAAAGTGGTCCCAAGATAATCAACGCAGATTGTGACGATCGTATTGTATTTCGCGTCCACTCGACGTCCCGTTTCTATAAAAAGGAAGAATCTTATAAACCACAAACAATCGCCTATAAAGTTTGTTCCATATTCAACTTCAAATTTTAAGAAATTGATAATTTATCACTTACGTAATTAATTAGAAACAAATCAATGTTTCGATTGGTATATTGCAAGTTAGAAGAAATTTAATTTTTCAACATTTTATGTATTTAAACTCTCAAGCTTTTCTTAAAATTTTTATTAAGAGAAAAATTGATAATAAAAAAAGAATTAAAAAAGGAAAAAAGTGTTGGAATAATTTTTAATTATAATTTTGATTTTCGTCTCTAAAAAAAAAATATGCCATTCAAATTCTTGTAGATCGAATCGTGTAGTGACGAACAAGATAGCCATCAATGCAAGACCATCACGGTTTATCCGCAATTTACCTCAGGGACTCAAGAAGTATACAGTGATCATATAACAGAGGGCGATCAAAATATTTTTTTATTAAGGATAAAAAAGAAAGCGGAATATTCTGAACAAAAAAATAAAAACGTTGAACTCGAACTAAGAACACCCAAACCGCCTACACCGCTACCTGTACCTACGTCTACATCTGTAATTGCAGTTGCATCATCGCAATTGCAGCAACCCGTTGCCGATATAATTGCAGATGTAGAAGAACCGGAGATGCCAGAAGAAGTTACAGAGCAACCGATAAAAGTGTTAAAAAGAAAAAAAAAGAAAAGAAAATAAGTTAATAGTATAATAAGGTATATATATATATATATCCATCCATTTTGCTCTTTTTATAAAAAAATCATATTTAATAATTTAAAATAAAATTGTAATTTAAAATCTAATATGAAGTTTTATAAAAATCTAATGAAAAAAATAGGATCAATAATTTCTCAATATGATTTTTTTATATTCTATATTTTGCGCTAATGATTTTAATATACTTTTCCATATTCTATATTTTAATATTTAATTTTTGAATATATATATATGTTTTCTTCTGTTTATTTAATATTTATTTAAATTATTTAAATTATTTAATATTTATGTAAAAATGTATTTTCAATAGATTTTATGGAAGAAAAAGATAATCATAAGGCAGCAAATTGAGAATCGACGTAACTGGAAAAATTTTCCGGAATATGAATCTGGGTTTATTGATAGCTGCGTCGATTCTGCGACTTCCTGAAGAAAGGACTAGAATTTCAATGATTATGTAAATGAAATCTTCAACATATGCCAGATATGCGTGAATACTTAAAGACGTGCGAAATGTGCATTTGTTTCATTTATCGTTTCTTATCGACCAGCTGAGCAAAATTATTTCGTTTTGGTTTATCAGATGAACCTCTTGTCCGGGACTATTTCCGATCTTGCTCTAACTGTTTTCTTCTCATACAAAGTCTCAATAAGTCTTTATAACAATCGATAGCATATAGCTTATTCCTATTGTTGAATCCTACAGTAATTGCTCCCTCCAGGCTTTGTGTCGGTGACCGTAAGCGGCCAACTTGTTCATCGAAGAATAGAGAAGGCTATCGTAACTTGTTAGATGTCGAAATTCATTCTGCCAGCTTTATATTTATAATCTAGGCCAATCAAAAATATGAACGAATATATACGAGAAATGAATTTTTACCCAAGTTTTTTCACAGCTAAAAAAACGTATCCATTCTTGACACCATTGAATATCATTTTTATTTCATTTAATTTTTCTTCCTCCAGTAGAAAAGAATTCGTCCATTGTTAAATCAATCATCACGTAAGAATATGACATGGATGATTCTTTATTGAATTTAGTCTAACGTCGCTTTATAAGCGGTTTCGGGAACACTTGAAAAATTTCAAACTGTCCCTATATTTTCTCGGCATTGTCAAGGATTCTCTCGGAGGTCGTCACAGTCGGCGAATCATGAGTATCTCGCGAACGTTGTCCGCGACGTCCTACGAAACATCGACGTCTAAAGTTAAACGCACAAAGAAGGAAGGATAAATGTCGCGATTATCGGTGCGTAAAGGGAGCGTACGAACGCACAATACGAAGACGTGGGGTAAGAAAATGCATGGGCGGTTTCGTAATCGTGAATGGCGTGGGAGTTCATAAAGGTGTCGTTCGCATTCTGTGTGGTCGCGTTTAAGAACGGTGACACAATGACGCTGGCCAATAAATTAGGAAGCCACGAAGAATGAACACGTACTCGATACACACGCGGGAAAACAGCGTGACGAGCAGGAGCGGTCTCGCGGCGAGTGAGTGAAAAGCTACTCGTTTTTTCCCGTACTAAGGAGAATCCTGTGGTCTCTGATGAATGGAGCGACAAGTGACCGCGATATTATTATACGTGGGACGGCTCTCGAGCTAAGGAAAGGATCTTGATGCGCGAGATCGACATCCATTTTCGGGATAAAAGGGCGGCGATAATTCACGAATCACTTGGAGGACGCGTAAAATCGACATTTTTTCGCACGATTCATCGTGAATAAAATTGAAAATAATATAAAAGGAACTTGCGACGTCTTGATTAAAGAGAGTTCTCGTATTAGAAATATCTCTCGTTCCCCCATCCAAGACTATCATCAGCGATGATGTTTCTTTCTTTGGATTTCTCGTAATTTACCTTAAAATTGCTGAATTTAAACCCTCGCAAACTCGCCTATTTTTCGCGTTAATGGCACTAATCGTCAGCAGAGGAATAAATAAATCAGCGAACGGGCATTCACCACAGGTGGTGCCGCGCACGATCGTTCAGGGTGGTCCTTGCATCGATTCCTCGCATTGTGGTATCGAGAACCGCTTCGTATCCGCAAACGAAAGATAGGGAAGGGAAAGTCGTAATATCATCATTATATTACGTCACACAGATGCGCGGATCGGGGGATCTCGAGACCAGCGTTTTTATATTGCGGTTACGGCGTCATTGTACGCTCCGGTGTCCAAAAAGGGTCCTTGGAGGACTCCCGTCGAGAGAAGGTCTACGGCATAGCGGGGTTGCTGATTGGCTGATTCCCCTGTCAACAGCTATGGTAATCTGTACGCATTTCCTGCATATCTTCCCTTCCCGATCCTTGATCATCACCTGCCGACTCCGCAAACGAGACGTCTTTGACGAATTTAAAGAATATGTCGCATGGGTAAATTTAAAGATCACTACAGAATTCTTTGTACAATGTATAACTATATGTAAAAGTTTAAATAATACACATAAAAAATTGTTTTAAGGAGAAATAATTTTTTATTCATTTAATTTAATTAAGGTTAGAAGATGAAAATTATGTTTAGTACTCTAACTTACTCTGAACATTGTCATATGATCACAAAATGTCCAACTTAATCGAATTGACATATAAATGGTTATCATATTGTATACAATTTTAGAAAAAAATTAGCAGTAGTAGTTGCGTCTGATAAAAAGGGATCGCACGATAAGCTTTCCCTTAAGGGAGCGCACGATAAGCTTTCCCTTAAAAGAGAAAATGAGGGAAAATGTTGGCGAATCATGCTGGAACCGCTAATAGTTTTAACGGTGCTGAATTGTATTTTCATGTTCAGTTCCACAGTTACGACTTGTGCATTATGGTAATCATGATCCGTCTTGAATTATTTTCCTATCTAAATTTTAAATGATTAAAATATTAATATAATATAAAATTCTCGATGCTATGCCAATTATAATTATGTCATTATACTAATAATTTCACATTAGGTGGCAATATCAGGGACACCGTTGTTGTGCCAGGAAAACTGCTCCTCGATCAAGAATTGATTTGAAAAAACCAAAGAGTTACATCTTACGAACTGTCAAAAAGTCGGGAAAACCAGATTTTGATGGCAATGGTGATCGCAATCTCAATAAAAACGATAATCGTGAGCGCAGAAGTAAAAAATGTCAGAAGAAAAGATCTAGGAAAAATTTAAGATATGCAGTGGAATATCAGAAAAAGAACGGAGAGAAAATGCCACTTCCGTAAGATTTATATGTATATATGTTATTCGTTTCTTTCTGAGAAAAAGTTTATATATAATTATATCTAATTACATATAATTATGTATAATAAGATCTATTTATATTATTATTTACATGTTATATCAAGATATTTATAACTTTATATCAAATTATGTAGAATTATATTAGATTTTTTTCTGAGCATTATATTCGATATTTTTGCATAATTCAATATAGAATTATAAATATTTTGACATAATTATACGTAAATAATAGTAACAAATAAATCTTATTGTATGCAATTTTATATAATTAACAAAATAATTATATTTAACAATATATAATTATATAAATTTTTTTTATTTTCTCTTTTTTTATTTTTTTATGTTATCCATTTTACTATACGTCATCGTTTTATTAAATTTGCATTTTAAAAATAGACTAGAAGCAAAGAGCCTCGATGAAAAAACAAAAATGTCAGAAGCTTCTCAAACAATAAATGACACGAAATCGACGGTCGTAATGGAATTTTCAACAGTCCAAAAAGTCGTGCAAATTGTTGACGATTCCGACGTTAACTCAACGCGACCTCCTTTCAAGGATATTGTCCTCCAGAAAAATGTGACAGACAAAAAACGTGATTATAATGTTGAACAGAATTTTCAGAGCAATTTAGCTGCTCCCGAAAATCTTTAAAAAATTGTTTTTAACAAATTAATAAACGATATTATTCACGATATAATTCTATATAGGAATCGTAGATTAAAAATTAATATTATGACAAAACTAATAAATGTAATATTCAACATGTTCGCTTTATTTATTGTCGGATATTTATTTTATTCGCACGTTTGCAAATATAAATCGATAGCTCTTCTTAATAAACGCTAGAATTCAAAGACTACATGCGTTTCTATGCACTTAACAATATTGCTATTGATTTAACTAAACGTTTAAAACGTTCGTCATTATTATTCAATAATTTTATTTGTTTTGCACATTATTCAAGTTTATTTTCGATTCTTGGAAACAGATACTGTCAGTATACCTCAAGATCTTTTACAGATACATTCGCTTTTGTTTGCTTCCAAATTGCGTTGTTATCCTCTCTGCTCAAAAAACCGTCCGATTTATTACAATTATTCAAATACTTGACCGATCTGTTACATGCTGGCGAAGTTTTCCTGTTCTTTTTTAAGCATCGACATGCGTTTTGACGCTCTTTCAATGATCGATCACATATTTTTTCTCCGGAACGATACTCTCGTCGATCTTTGCGATGGCGTTCGAAGCGAGAATCCTTGAATCGTTGTGCATGAATTGAATTATCTTTTACGCATGTCGGAAAATCACGCGAACGTGCTTTTCGGTGTTTCAAAATCGACTTTCTGCGCACGCAACACTCGCTCGAGTCCACTTTTCTAAGATTTTTTGAGAATCTTGGAAAACTAAAAGAAAAGAAAAAACTAATTTGGTCGAAGAAGCATGCAGAATATGTTTGAACATTATTTTTCCAGGTCAGCTTGCCACAGGTTGGCTGTTAGTCGTACCATACCGAAAAGAGAATGCACCAGATACATGTTATGCAGGCGCTGTTGCATATGGTAATGCAGTCCACCATTTCGCGAGTTCAACGAAAACCTCACATTTTGTGATTTTTAGAACGACACTTCATGCTCTGTCAGCTAAATCCAATTTTTCTAAATATAATGATGGAATTTCCAATGCAATTATAAATAATGCAATTATAAATAACGCTGCTATAAATTGATAGGCTAACAACATAACGATAACACGTGAAGTATAGAAAAATTGGACATTGGACCGTCAACTGTCAATTGTGATGGATTATAATAAATACTAATTACAAGCGAGAAAATAAGATTAAATCTTTCGTCAATTATGTTACGTTAAATCGTTATATCTTAATTGTTGATCAAATTAATTGTTGATCAAATTAATTCCCAAATTAATCTGAGACGTTCAAGATTATCGAATTATGTAGCTGCATCTGTCACATTTTATGTATTCGAAATATGAGTTTTAGTTACATTCTTTTGCATTTTGCTCATTTATGCCTATTTATAAATCAACAGTCACTTTGATTGAATATTCTGCAAACTTTAGCAGCATTCAAAGTACAAGTCCGCTGTACTTTGACTGTGAACAAACCCATTACATAAGGCAAGTTCGAAATCTTGTGTGTAAAAATATCTATGTGTCTTTATATTTGTCTTGATAATCAGCACATTCACATGTTTAATTTTCATCAGCACATTCAATGTTTAATTCTCAAATTTTCTGGTCAGGGATGTATAAAAATGTATGATTATCTTTTAATAATAGCTTTCTTTAACAACTTTTTTTAAACAACTCCGATTATATTTATTGATATAAAATATTATTTAGTGAAGAATTGCTTTTTCTCTCACATACACATTAATTATGGGTTTAAATATAGCTAATGGATTTAATTAAAGCTAACATAAAATCTATTAAATTTCAAATTTATGAATTTTCTGATATTTAAATAATAGAAATATCACTTAGAATATGTCAAATAAATTACACTTTTAATATCTTGGAAAATATTGCACAATCAATTGTTGATATGTAGTCATCGTTTTAATATTATGTTGTAATTTTATGATTGTTCGAGTAGGTTAATATACAGCTTTTAAAATATTCTTTCGAGGACTCCCGTATTTGTATAATTCAGCAATTTTCGCAATCAGATGCATGGTGCATTGATTACCTTAATCACAAGTTAGACTACTAAAGTCGGACAGCTTAGAAACATAGCGTAAATAAATGATAGTGGATATTAGCAATTATGATTCTGGCCTATTTGACGAGCCATTTTTGTAGAAGTAATATTGATTAGAAAGTGTTTAAACAGTGAACTTCTTTAACTTATTCTCATTTTCAGCCAAAATATTCAGATACATCTATTTTATCATATTAATATCTATTACGTAAAATTATAAGACTGATAATAAGTAAGACCGATTTATGCATAATTAAATTATAATTAAATTATAAAGCAGAAAGCATATTGATACTGTATAGAAACTGAAATATAGAAAATATAAGAAATGGAGAAAAACTATTTAAAAATAAAAGGGAAAGTTCATAGATTAATTGTATTCATATTTATCGGTATTTAAATTAACTTATTTTTAAACACAAGACTGTCATGAGTTTTACACGCAATTTTATTTGTGAGATGCATCTTTATTTTGAATTCTAAATCAATGAAAGATATAACATTAAAATTAAGTAAAGATTTTATTTTTATTTTTCATCGGATTTTGATCTGAATGTGATTAGAGAAATCAAAAATTAAAAGTTTATGTTAACAAAATAAGATTTATTTTTTTCACAGATTGCGTTTATATTTTTCACAATATCTCCCTCGCTACTTTCACGCGAGATTAACGATCGAAATCGAGCAATCGTCATTGCAATCCGATCACGTTGACTAAGTTTCGTTATGAAAACAATGAGACGAGCAGTCTGCATTCTCTATTTAAGTTCACGCACGCGTTGGGTGTCACGTATATATGTGTGTATGTGTAAATATTCTTCTTATGTATACAATCTATATATCTTATATATATATATATATATATATATATATATCTTATATATATATGCGATATACTCGATGGTGGGGAACTTGAAGTATTGCTAACTCGAGGAAGAGAGGAATCGCTCTGCTTCGAGCAGATAGAAATCCTGAACGCCAGAAAGGTGGAAGACTTCTTCCACTCATCAAGCTGTGCTGCACAGTGCAACGCGTGAAATTTTCACGAACTTCACGACACTCCAGCTGCGATTTATTATAACTTTTACGCAAGAAGTAAGTAAGTATCGTCATAGACTAAGAGAGTAATCTTCAAATTATGTCTTCTTCTTGTCTTTAAATAATTGCAAAACAAGATTCTTTGCAAATATGTAAAAACATGACAGAAATTATGCATTTTCATTTGTAAATTTTGACAAAATTAATTTTTTTTAGAGAAAATATATTTTCAAAAATCTGAATATATTTTATAGAAAGCTATTTCATATTAAAATTTATTTCCAATTGATTTTAGAAAGATATAAGTAGATAAAAAATTATTTTTCAAATAATTTTATTCATTTAAATTTTATATTAAAAATCTTTAATATATCTGAATTGTAATTTAGTTGATAAAAATTTATAGATAAAAAAGATTGATCCTAGATTGATCAATAAAAGACACGATCGTCCATTTATTTTAATCCTCATAGTTTTATTTTGTAATTATTTTTAAAACTCAAGCAATTTAGAGCAAATTATCTACTTTAATTTAGGAGAAAAGTTTTTTAATATTATATCAGCTTTATATAATATTTTTATTCCAATTTCTTGTGAATATTAATATTAATTGTAAATATTAATTTGTAGAAAGTAGATTAAAATATAAATTAGTCGACATATAAATATCAATATTATTCTTTTTCTTCATATCAATATTATTCTTTTTCTTCATTTACAAAGTTGATTGTTAAAATAACACGAAAATTCGCCAATTTTAATGATTACAAGTGATATCACGCTACTTTCCTTTGCTTATATGTTTTCACGAAAAGTATGAATAATAAACAAATATCTAGCCACATTAAAAACTCAATTGATTTGTCGGAATTTATTTATCGGAACAATTTGATTTAATTTTAATTCTTGTCACTGAAAACAAGCGTATATATGCGAACTGAAATGCGTTTCTTTATAAATGTCGTGCAGTTCCACGATAATAATAAAAAATGTAATGGATGATTGTAAGCTAATTGATATTCAACGCACTCAATCGGCTTTCGCGAAAAAAAATGCGTTCGAAATTTGCGAATAATTCGGACAGGCTTACGAGATCGAATTCGTGTCACGTATGTACACGTTCCTTTTCCTGACTCGCCTGTATGTTATTTCCTATTACTCTCGCACCTTCGTTTCTCAAGCAAATATTTTTAAGAGGTAAACATCGTTTGTGTGGCGCCGTGAACGGACGAGGTTATCTTTTCGCAGCAGTAATAAATCACATGTAGACAATATATACGATATACATATTTTTTTCATAAAATGTGACAAATGATGCTACGACACTATGACAAATCAAATGAAATATGAAGATGTAAGGAAATACAAAAATGCGAAGAATAAATATCAGTACAAAAATAAATAAAAAGTCAATAGTTATGTTTTAGTTACATTTCTTTTTCTTTTATTATTATATGTCTTCTTATTATATATCTTCTCTCTTCTTTTTTAAATTTTTTGACTTCTGTGTTATGAGTTCATCAAATGACATTCGGAATTCTAGATTAAATATTTGTTCACTAAAAGAGAAAATTAAACTGCAAAAACATACGACTCTTTATTTGTGCTGATAGGAAAAGTGTTAAAGTAAACAATAAATACAATCTTATATCGTCAAATACATTAGTGACGAAAGAAATGACAGGCGTTTATTTTAAAGTAAAAGATTTCAAAGTAAAAAACTCAGGATTGTAATAAATAAAAATTTCCTGTTTTAAATTCATGTTGCAGAATAAGAAAATAAAACTTTACATGTGTATATATGTGAATAAAATAATAAATGTATTAACGGAATTTTTCCTCTGTTATAACGAATTCCGCAATTCTCGTATCATAGCTAGAGGACAATATTAATTTAAGTATTGTTTCAGAAAATCATGACATTATTACCACCAACACCGACGCAACAAAAACAGATGGACAAGGAGCTCCCACCTGATCCGGAAATGAGAGAACAGGACATCAGAACGCTTCGAAAATGGCTGTCTAAGCAGCCACACTTACCAAATCACATAGGTACGTATTTATCAAAAATTAGAAAAATAAAATACTTGATAATAATATTGATATTAAATATAATTAAATCAAATAAAGAATATATGTGTAATAATATTGTACAGAAAAATATAAATCACGATTTTATTTATTGTAGACGACGTCAAACTGGAGAGATTTCTTTACAATTGTAAGAACAGCGTTGAGAAGTGTAAATTAATCTTGGAAAGATATTACACCGTTCGAACATCCATGCCGGAATTTTTCACCGTTCGTGATCCGCTATCTCGGGATATTCAAGATTGTGTTGGCGTAGTGTAAATAAATCTTACATTTTTTCGCGCGATCTCTGAGAAAAAATTATTAAAGTATCCTCCTGAAGTTTCAGGACGAATTAGAAAGTTTCAAATTTTCACGGTTCTTTCTTTTCAAATATTTTTATTAGAGACTACTTCATCTTGCCATCATTAACTGAGGATGGATATCGTGTCACCGTCTTTCGATTACGCGATACCAACGTGGAGAAGTTTTCATTTCAAGCGGTAATTAAACGTATTTTAATGGTACTTGATGCTCGTTTATGGGAGGAATCCTGTTTGTCCAATATTATGATCATAGATCTTGAGGTATGGATTGCTTTACTTTTCTTTCTTTATTATGTTTAATTTTTAATATTAAAAATGCAGTTATCAACACACACATATATCAGTATACCGAGTATTCTTTAATTTACTGGACTTTGAAATTTAAAATTCATTAGCGATAGCCATTAAATATAATATACTGTAAATTAATAAATATATAAAAATGTATTTTATAATAAATAAATATAAATAAATATAATTAATAAATATAAAAAATAAATGTAAAATATTAATTGTTTTGACAGGGTAATCACATTTTATTCTTTTTACACTATATTACTCATACTTTAAGAAGAAAGTGTATATAAAGGGTTGGGTGTGAAGCTAGGGGATGAAATATGAAAGGCTAGATTGCACTTAAGCGCCAAGTAAATCGAATACACTTTCACTTAGTTACGCCACTGTGTTACGTCAAAAGCAGATGAAATCGCATGAGGCACTTCATTTACAAAGTTTAATAAATAAAAAATAGATATAAAAAGATCGCATTAAGCAACGTTTATTACAGTTTTTAATTTTTATTATTTTCGGATATAATTACACTTACATACACACACACATTTTTAATGATAAATTAATTTATCTGAAAGAAAATTTATTACATTTTAGGGATACAGCACGGCGCATTTTGCAAAATTTATTCCGACACAATCCATTGTAAGGCGGGCGATGTTAGCAGTGCAAGATAGCATGCCTTTCCGATTGTTTAGTGTTCATTTTCTTAATGCACCGTCGTTCATTACCAATATTGTCAACATATTTTATCCATTGTTAAAAGAAAAGCTGATTAAGAAGGTAAACAAAAATTTATACAAAATTATCATAAAATACAATTTAAAAACGAGTTGAAAACATGCGAAATAATTCTTATATTTGCAGTTTTACGTACATAATGGCGGCGGAGAGGAATTATACGCTTATATGGATAGGGACATACTTCCCAATGAATGGGGTGGCAAAGCAGACACTTTTCAAGAATTAAATGGTAAATATAATCTTTTATTTATTATAAATTTATAATCAATTCATTTCCAAAATCAATTCACTTCTCGCTATAAAAACATTTTTTCGCGTTTCGCAAAAAATATTATTTACAAAAAATGTTATCATAATTAATAAATAATATTAATTGTGAAAGCTTGATACATTAGGCATGATTAAAATGACGATATTTCTCCGCATAATTTTATCAAGCTTAGATATTTATAATATTATTTTACGCATACATAGCTGCTTGGCAAGAGAAAATGGAAAAGAATAGAGATTGGTTTTTGCGAGACGAGAAATTGAGTCGTACAGACGAGAATGCTCGTTTACCGGAATCGAAAACGTCCCGTCTTCTAATAGAACTTCAAGGACTTCAGGGTTCATTCCGAAAATTAAATATAGATTAATGTTATTTTTATTATTAAAAATATTATTGCATTAATGAATCCAAGTTTTTATTGATCTTCAAAACTATTTTTTAATCCAATTAAATTGCAGATTTTACAATATTAATTTAGCTTTAGCAATAATTTTACATTTTATATTTTTAATTATAATTTTATATTTTTAAAAATAAAATGTAAATTATAATTATAAATAAGATAAAATAAAAATAAAATAATACACCAACAGCCACAAATTTAATTTCACTTTAGTGCCTTTTAATTTAATGTCTTTTTTAAAAGATAAAAGATATAGAAAAAGAATAGGCAAGAAAAATATTAACTAAATATTGAAAAATAATTAATAATAATTTTCTATTTCTACATAAAAAAGAGAGATCGAAAAAGAAAAAAGAGATATTAAAGAGAGATATATTTTTTTTAAATCTTATGTTTTTTGCATCAATTTTCTATTCTAAATTAACTTGAAATTAATTGTTTGTCAATTTATTATTCAATGACTACACGAGCTTTGTTCTTTATTTGATGATATCGCTCTCGAGATAGCGCCACATACTTCTATACTTAACGTTATCAAATATACGTTATTTAACCTGATAAACATCAAGTATATTAAACAATTTTTATTACAATCAATATTTATATTTAGTAAATAATTTATAAAAGCACCAAATAAGAAAATTTGTTTTACACACATTTGGTGTCTTTATTATATAAAATTTATTTTAAAAATTATTAACAGTAATAATAAAAGTATTGAATTAAAAAGTTCAATTTTAAATAAATGTTTAAAGTTAAAAAATGTTAGAAAAAGAATGTGTGTGTGTATATAAAATATTAATAGATGATTTATTTTTCATGACGTTGATTTTTATCGTTTATGTACGCTACGAGTAAAATAATATGTAGCACAAAATATATAATTATACAATTATTTGTAAAATATATAATTTTTGTATTATCAAATAAAAATATCTAAAAAAAAGTCGCACGTTGCATGACCCAGATATGGTTATCGATGTAATAATGGATGTTTAATCATCTTGTGTTAGGTTGATGCCTAAATCAATTTATTCCGGCAATTTATGCCAATTCATTTTATGCAATTTAAAACCCGTAAGAATCGTAAAATGTCCTTTATATCTTTTATAAATAAAATTCATATATTCGTTGAATTATGATATATATATATATATATATATATATATATATATATCATAATTCAACGAATATATGAATTTTATTTATGATATATATATATATATATATATATATATATATCATAATTCACGAATAAATAAATTTTATTTATAAAAGACATAAAATATACATACATATTATTTCTTATATGTATGTCCAAATATATTAACATTATTTGATATTAATACATCCTATTTTAATATAATAAATATTTTGAGCTGTTAAATAAATCTAAAAAAAAAAAACAAAAATGTATTAATATTTATTTACAAAAAAAGATTAGTTATTTTAAACAATTTTTAAAAATCGTTACATTTTGAATATTACCATTTTATTTGTATGCAGGCAAGCTATTTTCCAAACGTAAATAAACAATTCTTATTAATGTTATTATTTATTAAACAATGCTAAAAAGATTTCATATCATATAAAATAATATAAATAATCACAATATAAAAAATAATATAAAAAAATATATTTATTATTAACACAAATTTATTTGAATGAGCAAACTTGATTAATATTTTATTTAAGAAATTTAACTCATTAGTTGTTTATGTGACAAGAATGAATGAGATATAAAGTTAAAAAATAATATGAACATCGTTACAATATTGACATCGTTTGAAATATTGCGCACTTATGTCTAAAGTTTCTTTTAATTAATTGTCTGGACTTATTTATCTTGCTTATATGGACTTTGTGCTATAGAATACTTATTTTAAATAAAAAATTAAAAAAAAACGATATTTCCGTATGTGTTGTGAAGATAAAGATATTCTTTAAAATGACTGTTACAAATATTTTTTCAGTTCACTATCAGATGGAAATGTAAATTTCAAACGCTGGAAAAGAATCACAGTACAAAGAACGAAATAAAATATCGCGGTTCTAAAACGACGCCTGAAAGCAACTTATGACTATCGCGATGCATAACGTTGTCTTCTTTCGTCCTCGCTTAACCAACTTAATAAGCTAATGATGCATCGAATAATGTGTCTGTTGAATCTACTTTGATTCCTCATGCCGAATACGGCGTCGAAGACGAGATTTGTTTGCCATTTTTCGTACCGTAGAAGCGCATCTGACTGCGTTCAACATTTTCCACTACTCGATGAAGTTATTATTTTATTCCGTTCTCTCGTTTTTTTTTTTTTTTTAAGAAATGTAATATTCAGAGTCAATTCGGGGAACAATATATAGAACTAGTCAAGGAATGCGAGATGTACTCTTTGCATTCTGTTGTTGCCTTTATTTAATCTCTTGGCGCCTATTTTAATTCTCTCTTCGCTTATTTATCTTATTTTATCTTTATATATCGTCGCGAAATAAGTGCGCAGCAAAATGTCAGATGTTATTCTCAGAGCGATTTCGCAAAAATTATCTTCTTTATGTCTCGTTACTGTCTCGTTATTCTAGTTGCATAATTATCTCATCGTAATTACTAGTAAGCAGATAAGAAGCAGCTTCTGTTAGTACCCCGTCAATTCCGCGCGTGTCCCAGGTTTCGATTCGTGTCGCATGTGTTTCGCATACCTGAAGAATGTTCAGGCAATAATAAAGTCTCGCCTCGCATATAAATAAAACGCATAATAAATGCGCGCACACGCTCGCACATAATAAATGTGCGAAGAAGCTGCTTTCGCGAAATAAGACATCGCGAGTCAGATTTCATTTATTTGTATAGAAGCCATTCGCGAACGGAAGGTAAACAAGTCAATTTACCAAACTACGCAGCGCGTTTATCGCTGTTCCTTTTTGCTAATTACACGCGTTAATAACGCGCGCGCCGTTATCGAATACCAATGAGCCGTCTATAGTCATAAATCGTTGTCGTTCGGAAAATCGTTCAGCTTGCACGTATAAATATCCGCGCGTTGTTTACATAGCGTTATATAAGCGAGTGCTCGATCGATCAGCGATAACACATATGCACGCATAAATTTGCTACTAATAACGGAACGTTATTAAGTGCGTATCAAAGAAAAGAGCTAAGAGACTCTAACATCTTTTATGAAACTGATGATACTCATTAATCATTGATAGATGTTTAAAAGTAAAAAATTGAAACTACGCACGAAATGCGTGTGAATATAAATATTTGAAAAAACGTTATAATATTTGTAGGAAAATATTTATATTTGAAGTCAATTTTATTAGTTGTTTCATATTAAATATAAATAAATTAATATTAATTATTAATTATAATATTAATTAATTTTTATTAATAATAATATTATTTTATTATTAATCTTATATTAATATAATATTAATATTATTTTAGTATTAATATTATATTAATTTTTATTATTATTAATAATAATTATAATGTTAATTACTTTTTGTAAAGATAAAAAATAATCTCTTCCCGGTGATCTTTTCGAAATGTCATTTTTATTGTCTCAAGGTAAACTTCGCGATATAATTCTGTTATAATGATAGAATACGCGTTATCGCCAGGTATCGTAATGTACATATACATAATGCGCGACGAGCGCATATGGCTTTGAATTACTTATCAATGAGCTACGTGTTTGTTTTCCTCAGTCGAAGTCAACGTATTAATGTTGCGTATAAGACGCTGTTTTCAGTGTCGCAATTTTAGTTGCTAACAGTCAACCGAGGGAATTTCATGTGGCTGGTCAGGCAGAGTTTCGGGAGAGAAGCGACTGCTGCGTGGGTGGACGCACCGTTCCATTTGATTGCCTCGATTGCAAACGTGTTTTTGTCGCTGCTTATTGGTACGTGCACAAGTAAGACACGCAATTGCCATTATACACGTATTCGAGTAATTTCGCGTATTAGTGCCCCTCGTCTCCGCTGTTACATAAGTATATATACCACGTATGTGTCGCTGATGGACAGGTCGCGCCGGTTAATTGATCGGTTAACCAATTAATACAACGGACAATTACGTGTCTTATTCACGGTTATCGCGATAATCGTTTATATCCTAGTTAATAGAACACGCAGTAAACATATGAGCGTTTTATTCAGTAAATATTAAGATTCTTATATTTGTTTCAGAAGAAATATGAATTTTGTGACGAAATTTTGCGCAAATTTTACAAAAACAGTTTCAAAATTTTCCATGTCTGAAAAATAATTAGAAAAAAGAGAAAACTTATCATAAGTTTTTCTTAAAACGATATAAAGTCGCATTTTATTTATTTATTGTGCTATTTAAAATGGATGACACACACATATTGAAATGATTTAAATCATAATTCATAATCGGAATATATTTGTGAACTAAAGCAACGATATTGTATAATTTAAAAAAATAAAATATATAATTATGTATCAATAATTAATAATAAAAAATTATATATTTTACACAATTTAATTTTATATCAGAAATAATGTATCTGTAAACGAGATCGATGACAGCGAAAAAAAAATATTAATTAATTTACATAGAACATTTAAACGAGAGAAATTTGACTTAAAATCATCTTAGACATCTCGAAATAAACATTGCTTGGAAATGCAGTAATGCGGCAACTGATTTCACTGCGGCGGCTAAAGATATGGATAAATTTCTACGATGCGGCCGTTGATTCGCCTTGACAGCTTGATGGTCGTTCGGTACGATTCGCTTTTTATTCAAGCATGATTTAAAGTGCTTCAAGGATGATGCACGCGACATTTACAATCACAATTACGGTTGATCTCGTTCGCATCGTGGCAATAAACATGTCGATCGGACGAGTCGCGAGTTCTAACACACGACGTGCTTACGCATCTCCGTTAAATTATCAAAACCCCATAAAATAAATCCTTTATCGTCACGCAATTACATTCGCGCGAGTGCGACTGCTGTAACAATTAACAGCGACAGTGGGAAGAGAGGGGGAGGGATAAAACACAGTGGAACGTAACACACAACCCCCAACCTCGTCGCACGCTACAGTGCGGCGGCAGGGTGGATTGATTTTTCGCCCCCTGACGTCACAACGAATCCAGCATGCGCGTGATGGTTAAACACGGTGCCGATATCGGTACCGGTACATATTCTTTTGTATTGTATCTCCTGTATCAAATGAAGGGAAAGAGGGGAATATAAAATTCTTACGGCTCATCATTTGATGGGAATAAATAAATTTCATCATCCATTAGTTGCAAATTATTATTTTTATCGTCAAGGAAAAATTTTTATAAGGCAGAGGAGAATTATATTACGATACATTAAACAATTATTATCACAATATTATCTCTAAGTGAACTAATTACTATATTTTAGCAGAGTAATATATATATAAAATAAAGTTTAGAATGTGTATATTTTTATGTTCTGGCATTATAATCATCGTAATTATTGTAAAAAAATGTATGTCACTCAATTAAGATTATATTACGTAATTTTTCGAAATTGTAGATTAATGTATAGATTAAATTAATATTGAACTATTATAACTGTGAGCGCGTTTTATCTAAATTTTCTAACATTAATATTAACTTGAGAAAATGAAATTGAATGAGAATAAGTCAACTTATCGTTCTATTCGAGCTTGATGAAGTTGTTCGAAGAATCATTCAGTAAATTCCATTGAAGATAATCAAACCTTTTAAGTGTGGCTAACACCTATTGGTACTGACAAGTAATAGATATAGAATGATTATAGCTAACGGGAGAAGGGGAGGGTGGGATCTGACGCACGTAAAATAGATAGCGCATGAATAGTGTTCCAATAAGATTGCACGAACGCGCTCATAAGCAAGCTTCTTTCACAAAGAAGAAATAGAATAATAAGTCTGCCATTATCATCACGCGGGATCATGACAATCTAAATCGAGCATCCAATTATTGTGCCATTTTCTAAATGAAGCATTATCAAATCGCTATCTACATTTAATAAAATCCATTAACTCAACAAATTGATATTGTGCTCTATTTTTTCACTTTTATTTTAATCTATCTCAAGGCATCTTTATAAAAATTAGATGATTATTTATTATTCTACGAGATAAAGGAGAGCAATAATTTCTTCTATTATTATATATATGAAATTTTTATCAACATAATATTTTATTGGCACAATAAGAAGAAATTCTACTTCAATCAGAGAGATAACTTGTGTAGGAAAATTGCTCACAAAGCAGTCTCTTGCAATTACAAATCGTGAAATTTCGCTCAAAAGGAGAATCGAGTTAAGCCGAGGGAAATTTCAAGCGCGTCATCGAAAAATGAAATTTTAGTATCTTTCTCAAGACGATACTTCCCCAAGGGAGAGGGGGGGGAGGAGAAGTCGGCGTGCAACGTATCGCTGCATCCCGAGAGACGTCAGCGCGGTCGAAGGGATGAGCAGGTCGCGAAGGGCAGGACGAGCGCGCAGGACGTTTATAAAATAACAGCAAGATCGCGTCAGTCGACGGGGAAGGAGAAGACGAAGGGGGAGTCGGCAGGGTGGTTACATGATTCGGGAGGAGGGTCGGGGTCACGGCGGGTTCATTCAGCGATGTGCAGTTGGCCGGGTGCTGTCGGGTCTATCTTGTCAACCGAACCGCCGCGGTTCTCTCTCCCTCCTTCATCTTCCCCTTCGCTTTGTTCCCTCTCTGTTCCCTCTCTGGTGCGGCGGAACCGTTCTCCCTACCCTATCCCTACCCTACCTTAACTCGTACATTCTCATCGTGCGCATCGTCGCCGACGCGCCCGTCGACGACCGAGGCAGCACCGAGCGGACAATCGTCGACGACGACGTCGGCGACGACGACTATCGACCTTTCTCCTTTCTCCCCTGCAATCAGTATCGTATCGGTCAGAGGGAGGTAACGGTGCTGTGATAACGTCGTCAACTCTTCGTACGCTATTTCGCGTGCACAGGACACGTGCATCGTCGATATGGCGATAGCTCAACGTCCTCTTGGTGCCTCCTCACCTGGTGACTGAGCCTTGACGGCAGCGGCGGTTTCGATCGACTGGCAGCGGCGGCTCTCGTAAGCGGAGGTGGGTCAACTCGCGAAGCGACCGCCAGTCGTTGACAGGTGGTGCGCAGTTCTGCTCCAAACACGCGAGCGAGCGATTCTACGATGCATACGGTGTCTCTTCGCTAACGGGGCGACTCGGTCCGCTAATCGACGCCCTCGTGAGTTATCCGTTCGAGGGCGAGAGGAGAAACGGATACGCGAAGGGAAAGGGAGAGGGTGGGAGCTGTGCAGGGGGTGGTGGGAGGCATTCGTCGCGAGTAGAGGAACGGAACAGATCGGAACTCTTATCTCTCTTCTCTTTCTCTCTCTCTCTCTCTCTCTCTCTCTCTCTCTCTCTCTCTCTCTCTCTTTCGTTGCGATCTCATAAAGACGTACCGATTCTCGACACGTGCCAAAGAACTGTCCCGAGCGAAAAGAATAGACGTTCGTCGCGAGTGATCGTCGAGATCCGTCTCGGGAATCGGCGAATTTTCCGATCGAAATAATCGGAGCAAAATCGGAGAGCGTCTCGGTCTGAGGAACGTGCATAGGGCGCATCCTCCCCTTCCTCGCCTCGGATGGAGTGCCCCTCCTCGCGCGCCCGCCCTGTCAGGACGTCAGCTGGAACTTGCGTGGAACGTCCTGGTTGCCGCCGCTGCAGTTTCTAGTCCGACAGACGGCAGCGGCTGAGGAAGACGGGAGGAAAGGAGATCGTTAGACCTCTGCGATTGATCGTGTCATCTTCGTGGAGAAAATTCTACGAGTAAAGGGAGACACCCGAGATATCGAGAGAATACGCCCCGTCGAGTCAACGCGCGTCGACTGTGCGAATCCCATCCCATCTCTCTCTCTCGACTCTACACACGGAGTCGATTGTATGCATATGTATACAAATGTACATACATATATCTAGCTCCACTCGCGCGAGAACGTGCCATCTCGCCAAACTCGTCGCGTGTACTCGCGTAGCATGCGTCAGCCGGAGTGAGCGAACCGGCGTGCAGCTGTCATCGGGGCAAAGGAGAGAGAGAAAGAGGGAACGTGGATCGCCACGAGTGCGTCTTGGAGAGCGGTGCGAGTCTCCTCGGTGCCGGAGAATTGTCGCGGGTGTGTGCACGTCGTGGGAGGAAGAATCACGTCGGTGAAGGGGAGGGCGCATGATATAAATTGATCACACGAGTAAGTCCCTCCGTCAGAACGAACGACAGCCAGCCTGTCGACTTGTTTCCAACGCTTGACTTAAGCTTGTTGAGTCTCGAGGCAGACAAATTTCTCGTTTTTCCACGAGAAAGTCTCCCTTAAGGGATACTATCTCGGAGGAAAGCGTCAAACGCTGCCTTCAGCAATCTGGTCTCGATCGAAGCGTGGTTGCGCTCGATGTCGATGCGTTCTGGATGTTTCATCGCGTGCTGGCCGTCGACTATTATTCCATCTATTTATCTCTCTGGTTTTACTCCTCTCTGCATCTCCTTCTGTCTCTTTCTCCCCTTTGTCCATCTCTCCATCCGTCTCGCTTTTAACTTATATAAGAGAGCAGTGTCTGCAGAGCTAGTGCGAGCTTCCCCGCCGATGCAGAGGCGAGCCTCGAAATCGCGGTACCCCGTTCTTGCGAATATTAATGTTGCTGCACGGCTGGCATTAATATTAGTTCATCCATATGCATATGTATTTTCTTTCGCACGTGTCACGTACACAACATTATCGTCACGTCATGTGTACCATTCGATAGAATGAATCAGCGAGCCAAGCATATATTTTGTCCTCGTGTTACAGCAATTTTCTTTTTTCTGCCTCATCGCTTGAAGGATTCCTTCGAATAAGGCGCAAATGAGCT